GAATAAAATATAATTGTTCGTGTCTACACAATGCAGTTGCATCCAATATTTTTGTACATCTAAAATCGTCGTTATCGATTTTGCAGAAGAGGCCTGTTACAAGAAGTAGCACCCTAAGGAGTGTTGAAAACTTGAAGTTAAGATGGAAGTCCTTATCCTATTTGGATTAGGACTATGTGAAGACTGCCAGTATCAGCTTGAAGCGGCGTCGTTTGATTTATAAGAAGACTGTTGCCGTCTGCGGTGTCGTTTTATTTATTTCGGATGGATTTGATTGAATTCGATATGGAGGTTGCTCCCTAAATAAATCATGTGCAACATTTCAGTTGAATAATTTTTCTCACTCGTTTTTTTTTTATTGAATTATTAAATCGGATTTTTTACTTGTTTATAAATTTACTTAATTTTGGCTACTAAATTTATGAAATGTAATTTGGGCGTGAAATGACAAGAGCATGCGCCGACAGAGGACCAGAGTTTGATATCCGGAAAAAATACTGTTGGCCCAATAGTATAAGACTTCTGAAAATGGAGGCAGTAATCAAGAAATAAACAATAGTATTTTTATTGATTGAAAGATCCCTCGCCGATCTAATAAGATCTCAAACACTAAAAGTACAAATCTTGAAAAACAAAACAATGTACTTTCCCTCCTCCCACTTTTATACTATACATATGGCAACTTTCCCCTCTTGTATACATTTTGGGAGCATGATCAACATGTACGCGTCAATATAGCACAAAAGAATCACCATATGACGTAGGGTTCCACAACACCTATTATGGAATCGTAACAACATATGATGATTCTTTCGGCAATATTCAGACGGCGACTTATTGTCATTGCTCCCCTCCCTGCCTCTAACAAAGACCTTGCATGGAGAGAAAAGAAGAAACAATAAAACGAAGGATTTAGTTTAACAGTCATGATCTAACAATGACGTAATGAAAGGAACTGAGATCTAAAATAATACGCAGTCTCATCATTACCACTGCACGCGAAAATAAAGCATGGGACAGGAGGACGAAGAGGCGGATGGGGTTGATTTTCAGAGTTTCATATTGAGAAGATGAGAGAAAGGGGTCTTTTCAGGGATTGAGAGGAGGAGGAACGAACAACAGCAGGAGATGAGTGCCTCTCGGGTTTCGGAGCATGGTCTCTCCCTCTCTGATTAAAGAATTTATAAATGGGCTCATAAAATTACTTTGCCTTTCCAGCCCTTCCCATTTACTGAGAATCACACTCCCTACCGCTGCCTCGGCCTTGGTAACGTCAGCACTGGTTAGGGGCAAATGAGACTTTCCGAAAAAGGCGATATCTGATTGGGTAACAAGCCGCAGTTGGGATTGAAGCTCTTTCACTATCGGATTAAAGGAAAAGTTTAGGAATTGACGGCTGGAGATGGGGATGTGCTTTTAGACTGGCTTTGTAGATTAACTAACTTTTTTGTTTACCAAAATTAATCTACTGATTTGGTATATGTTATTGTAACCCTAAACCCTAATACCCGAACCAATCAATACCATATACTCTATGACAATAACACCTTATACCCTAACCAATCAATACCATATATAATCTAAACTATCAACACCTTGCTACCTACCTTATACCCTAAACCTTCACTACTTATAGGCTTATGCTATAAACCATAAACACGTTACCATCTCCATCCCATTGCTTATTTAGTGGAATCCTAGGTGGTACCATTATTTAGAAAGATTGCAATGCCACCTAGGATATTTTTTCTAAACTAGCAAGATTGCTAAATTAGGAATTCTTCCTGCAATGCCAAACTCTAATACACGAACCAATCAATAGCATATACTCTACAACAATAACACCTTATAGGCTTATACCCTAACCAATCAATACCATATATACTCTAAACCATCAACACCTGGCTACCTACCTTGTACCCTAACCTTCAATCTCTTTAACATTTATGCTCTAAACCATAAACACCTTATTATACCATCTCCATCCCATTGCTTATTTAGACCATCTCCAATGGTGCAATTCTTGAGAATTGCAAGCTGATGTGGCAAGGGAGTGAAAGTGGGATGGTGAGTTGCATTGATGTGGGATCAATTACAAAAGTTGCAAATTTGCATATGATGAATATTTTCATGCAATTGCATACTGGCCCACCTTTTGTCCTTTTGGTTTATTTTTCTTTCTTTCTTTCTTTCTTTTTCGTTTGTGTTTATTTTTTCATTCTCAACATACATGTAGCACACACATATATACAATTCCAATCATAATACTTTATATATTGAATTTCTAGTTTACATAATACTTTATATATTGTATGTAATTAAATAATCATTAAATAAAATTCCTATCATGGTTGATATATAATTCAAATATCAAGGTTCATATATAATTCGAATAACACAACGGCAAAAAACAACTTGAGAGAAAAACACACTAAACGCGTTAAGATGACAAAACTCAAATTAATATAACACACTCACAAATTAATATTGAATTGCATTGAAAATTAAGTAGGACCCACGGTCACAATTGCATCTTGATGGCATTGATGTAGATGGTATAAAAATGAGGAGTGAGTTATAGTTAAAGTTGCTGAAGTGGCAATTGGGACCACCTATTTGATCGGTGTTGGAAACTTGAACTGAAACTGGAAGTCCTCCTATGTCGTGTCGTTTGGTATATAAGAAGACTGTTGCCTCTTGCGGTGTCGTTTAATTTATGCACTCATTAATGGTCAGTTGAAGGCAAATTTTAAGCACTCTAAATAAATCATGTGCAACATTCCAGTTGAATAATTTTGAGAACTAGTTTTTTTTATTCAATTATTATATCGTATTTTTTGCACTAATTTTGAGCACTCATTAAATGGCTAGAGCATGTGGCGACAGAGGAGCAGAGTTCAAAATCCGGCAAAAAATCTGGTTGGCCCAATCGTAAAGACTTCTAAAAATGGAGTGAGTAGTCAACAAATAAAGTACAGTATTTTTATTGGGAGTGGAGGATCCATCGCCGATTTAGAAGATCTCAAACACTAAAAGTACAATTTTTGAAAAAACAAAAAGCTGTACTTTCCCTCCCTATTTTATCCTATTATACATATGGCAACTTTCCCCTCTTGTATACATTTTGGGAGCATGATCAACATGTACGCGTCAATGTTTCCCAAAAGAATCACCATATGAAGTAGGGTTCCACAACACCTATTATGGAATCGTAACAACATATGATGATTCTTTCGGAAATATTCAGACGACGGCTTATTGTCATTGCTCCCCTCCCTGCCTCTAACAAAGACTCTGCATGGAGAGAAAAGGAGAAACAATAAAACGAAGGATTTAGTTTAACAGTCATGATCTAACAATGACATAATGAAAGGATCTGAGATCTAAAATAATACGCAGTCTCATCATTACCACTACACCCGAAAATAAAGCATGGGACAGGAGGACGAAGAGGCGGATGGGGTTGATTTTCAGAGTTTCGTATTGAGAAGATGGGAGAAAGGGTTCTTTTCAGGGATTGAGAGGAGGAGGAACGAACAGCAGCAGGAGATGAGTGCCACTCGGGTTTCGGAGCATGGTCTCTCCTTCAGTGATTAACGAATATATAGATTGACTCGTAATTACTTTTACTTTCCCTCCCTTCACATTTACTGAAAATTACACTCTCTACCACTGCCTCGGCCTTGGTAACGCCAACATTGGTTATGGGCAAAAGCGACTTTCCGAATTCGGCAATATCTGATTGGGTGACACGCACGCGACAAGGATCGAAGGTATTTCACCATCGGATTAAGGGAAAAGTTTAGGAATAGACGGTGGGAAATGGGGATGTGCTTTTATAAATAGTCTGACTTTGTAGATTAACTAACTTTTTCGTTTACCAACATTACTCTATTGATCTGGTTTATGTTATTCTAACTTGAATCCTAACCCTAAACCCTAAACCAAACCCTAATACACGAACCAATCAATACCATATACTCTACAACAATAACAACACCTTATAGGCTTATACTGTAACCAATCAATAACATATATACTTTAAACCATCAACACTTTGCTACCTCCCTTATACCATAACCTTCAAGACCTTATACTGTATACCAACAACACCTTCTTCTATCTCCATCCCCAACTTTTAGCAATTGCTAAAGATGAGTGGAGCTTAGGTGGCAAAAACTTAGCAATGCCACATAAATAACTTTTCTTTGTCCTTTGTCCTTTTTCCTTGTTTATTAACTTTTCAATTTATAATAAGTGTTTCCTTTGAAATATTAAATGGAACCCACCTTCGCAATTACTAGCATAATTTAAGGATGTAGATGAATAGAAATTGATAAGTGATGAATTGCTAAAATTGATGATGTGGCGGTAGGGACCTCGTTTAGAAATTGTTGTTCAATTTTAAGGATGAAGATGATCAATACACTAACTCAATACCATATACTCTAAACCATCAACACCTTATACAATATCGTATTTTAGGATGGAGATGATCAATACACAAACCCAATACCATGTACTCTATACCATCAACACCTTATACAATATCGTATACCTATACGCTGATAATATTTTGGCAAAATTCATCTGTGTAGCCAAAACTTTGACGTTTGTGACAATAATAGCCACTTTTGACGAAATACCAAATATAGCCAAAATTTTGAAAGTTTGATGACAAATATAGCCATTTCCGTTACAAACTTTAACGGTGTTAAAAACTTCGCCAAATAGGTTAACATTAAGTTGACTAGTATGCCAAATCATCGCACACATCAGCGACAACTCAGATGTTAGTGACACGTAGATGCCACGTGTTATTTAATTTAAAATTAAAGAAATAAAATAGTAAAAGAAATATAAATAATTATTTTTTAGTTATTTTTTTGGTCCCAATATCTTTCCTTTCCTTTCGCGTCTCTCTACACAGATTTGTAAATTCCCAAAACCAATTAATTATTTGTTTTTCACCCCCATATCTTTCCTTTCCTTTCGTCTCTCTACACAAATCTGTAACATTCCCAAACCAAACAAAAATCCAATTGAGATATTAATCTCCACCCATGAATCCCACTCTCCTTTATTATCGCCTGTCGGAGCTCTAAGCTCCGTAAAGTAGAGGAAGATGGCGGCCATGCGGAGATAGATGGCGAGCAGCCCAGCGGGGACAGATCGACGGCGCCCAGATGCAGGCGGAGACAGATCGACGACACCCGAAACAGCGATGACGAGCGGAGATCTGGGTGCGACGACAGAGGGGCAAACCGATGGTGGTCGGCAATGGAAGACGATGATGAACAGTGCAGCGGCGAAAGTTTGATTTGGCCGAGTACCCAATCAGAGATCCACAAACTTTTCACCTTTCGATCTACTCCCGCTGGGTAGCCTTCCATCCAGACCACCGCCATTACTCTCTCTCCGACTGGGTAGGCCTTTCAACTAGAACAACCTAGAGTACTGAGGAAGGGGAGAGACTGGAAGAGAGCTTAAGAAAGGAGGCGATTTTTTCTCTAATTTTTCTCTGGGAACACGAAGGGGAAGAATAAGATAATAGAGATGATCAAAAGACTCTTTTTAAATTTTTTAGTTTATCCACATAGATTTGTTACCAAATGGAGAGTGTCCAGGTCATCCTTCCGTTAATCTAGCTCAGTCTGTTATTTGACACTGTCAAAGAATTGGACGGAAGTGGCTATTTTTGGTATTTCGTCAAAAGTGGCTATATTTGGCAAAATCGTCAAAGTTTTGGCTACACAAGTGTATTTTCCCTAAAATTTTTGCCCAACTAGATTACATAGGTACTTCAAAACGGGAATTATAACTTGCTTTTCAAAACATAAATTAAAAATTGATACTCACTAAGTATCGAACCACAAACCTCTACTTTATTGACTAAGCAAATAAAGGACAATTAACCAATTAAGCTACATCACATTGATGACCATCTTGCATAATTTCGCTTTCTTATTAAGTGAAGGGTTAAAATGAACGATAAATATATCACAGGGGATTGTTTCAACTTCGTCGGGGACCGAGAGAGTGGAAAAGGGTTAATTATTCAAACAAAAAAGAAAAGAAAAGGGGGAATTAACAAAGAGTTAAATTGGACGGATTGTCTTTAGCACGCCACTACCACCCAAAATCCTTCGGAGCAAAGACATGTTGGTTCAAGTCAAAGAATAAATGAAGAAAGATGAAGTTAAGAACTCTAACTGATTTTGATTCCATATGTGGCGAATCGCTAATGGCCGGGATAACCAACATGGCAAAATCGTTAATGAGAACCTACTTTGCACACACCAAATCATTTTATCTTGTACCGATAAATGTGTAAAGAGACACGCTACAATAATTATGTCTAAATTTCTTGATAATAAGGCATGATCAGCATTTATAAGCAGATGTTAAGAAAATATAAAATCGAGAAAAATAAAACAACACCTACCCTCAGCCAAACCAATCAATACAATATGCTCTAGACCATCAACAATTCAACACCTTATAACCTACCCATATACCATATACTCTAAACCATCAACAACCTAATACCCTAACCAGTCAGTAATCATTACCATAACCATAAACACCTTATACAATAATCGCAACCTATACGCTGATAAAATTTTACATTTTGAAAATACTTGCCCAAGTAATACACAGGTACTTCAAAAGTGAAATTCTAACTTTCGTTTCAAAACATAAATTTAAAAAATGTCCTCACTAAGTATCCAACCACAAGCCTCTAATTAGTCTACAAGAGGTTTGTTATGTCAAGAGGGGCAAACAGTGAGAGAGTGGAATAGGGGCAATTAATAAAGAGTTAAATTGAACGGATTTTTTTTACCTCGTACCGATTAATGTGCAAAGAGACACGCTACCATTTACCGAATCCCAAAAAAAAGATGGAACACATAATTGTGTTTAAATTGCGTGAACGCAAGACATGATCAGGATTTAGAAGCAGAAGCAGAAGCAGATGTAAATAAAAGCCCAACCTCTTCACAATCCGGATCATGTACACAAGCCCACTTTTGAAGGGAATTTAAAAGCCTGCAAAAAATGAATGATTAAACCCAGAAATAATACGGATCCCAGTCCAACTAGACTTTGTCCTAAACGCACTGTTAATACATAAACACAAGTTAAGGCAACCTCTCCATCCGATTCGAATCAAATTCTGTCTTCTTCATCTTCTTCCTCAATTAGGTCAAAGACTGTGTTGCTTATTTCATCTTCAATTTGTTGTAAGGAGTTCCAAACACATGATGACAAAGCAGTGGCGACATGAACCCTAGGGTTAGCAAAATGAAAAGTTCGATGAACACAATAATAGACATGGTCGCCGTAATCGTGTTAGAAAGAGATAGGTGTGTAAATTCCGGTCGGAAATAAAATGGCGAAGAACAAAACGTCGATTGTGGATACAAGAATTTGTGGTTCAAAACAATGATTATGTGGGGATTTTAGATTGAAAAGGGATCTTCTCTTCGAACGTGGATACATAGATTTGGGGTTCAAAACATGATGATGTTGGGGATTTGATATTGGATAGGGAGCTAAATCGAATGTGGATCAAATGATAAAAGGATTTCAGATTTCAGAAACGATGATAAAAGGATTATGTTCGAACTTCGAACTAAGAGGGGACGTCCCCTCCAAGACGAATGAGGGACTAGAAATTGGTTAGGGCGGCGGGTCGTATCCATAGGGTTTAACCTCTTAATCGATATAATTAAACCGGGTACAGTTAGGTTGAAGTCCAATGAAAAAAGCTTAAACGATTCGTGATGCTTTTGGTAATTTTCCTTGGCCCCAGTTTCCCGTACCCCGGATTTTCCCCGGGCACCCTAGAACTGCCCATATATATATATATATATATATATATATATATATATATATATATATAAATCATAAAATTATAGCGAAAGCTAATTTATTCGCTAGGAGGCGCATCGTATAGTCTGCTCTAGGATTTCCAGCGCTGTGCTCCCATGGAACAACGCCATCTGGCCCTATCTTCAAAGGCCAAGGTTGGATTCGATTAGACATTTCGTAGGAATCAAGATCGACCGTCAGCTCATCACAGTGTTGGTGGAGAGATGGCGATCGGAGACACATTGCTTAAACTTCTCCGAATGCGAGTGCACCATCACATTAAGGACATCTCTATCCTAACCAATTTCCCCATTGACAGCGATGTCGTGTGTGTGGACGATCACCCACCACCCTCAGATGTTGACGAGATGAACGGGTGGCGGTATTTGATATGGTCATATGGACCACCTTGGGTTTGTTCGTTCCTGCAAAGGGAGAAGGAGACGACGAGGAAGATGGACGGGCACCAATGAGGAGTCGCCAAGTATCCATCACTTGGCTTTCTCCTCATGGAGGAAAGTGATGAGGTGGATAAGGAGATCTATGCACGTGTTTACCTCATCGGCATGATCGGAGGGGTGTTCTTCCCCAAGAAATCCAACAACTTAATCAGCAATGGTTGGTTGAAGATCCTCCTTGGTACATGGGAGGATATGGGGAACCTAAGCTGGGCATCCACATGCCTAGCTCATATCTACCGCTCCCACTGTAATGCAACTCCGAAAGCGGTAAAGGAGATTGATGGGGCGATGTTCATCGTCTAATTTTGGGCTTGGGAGCATCTTCCATGGATTGCTCCGGTCTCAGATCCTGACGCCGAATGGGCCGATGACCACGCCTATAGATTTCAAGCGCATGGTTGTAGGTAAACTTCTCATATCTCAATCAATTCTTAAACTTCTTTCGTACTACTTAATGATTAGATAGTTATAACTTTGTATGTTTGTCGATTCAATAAGATAGCTTGGACAAACAACATGCGACAACATGCTGGGGCACAAGTTGGAAGAGTATCGGAGGAGGCTGGATCATCTTTGGGAAGCAGAGGTAACCATCAATAAACATCTACTCCTTTGTGATTTTGTCCAGTCCATTTGTTAATTTTTTCCAAAGACTAACTTTGTTTTCTCTTCTGTAGAACATATTCGATCCGTACCCTGACCGGGTCGTTCAAAATCACATCCACAAGTTCCCGATGCATCCCGGTCGATGGTGCACGCGAGTGCCACTCATTTGCCACTTTATTGTGGAGTGGCACTTGACAGATCGATGCTTACGGCAATTTGGTCGTGAGAAATGCTTGCCATTAGAAGTCCCCGCAAGCCAAAAGGCATTTTATGGGAAGGATGGTCGTCAAGGTGTTTCGAATTGGCCACATAAGTTGAGGAGTTTCATCGAGATCTGGAACAATAGGAGTGCTCATGAAATAGTCACTCCACCACCTGTGGTGCGGATGGGGTATCATGACCCATATCTAGAACAGTATAAAAAACAATCGGTCCGATACATGACGCCAGATGGTGCGACGGACGGTGCTTTGGTAAGAAATTTCTTGCAACAATTTGATCTATTCACTTTTGTAGACATTTATGGTTAGTTTTTATCCAAAACCTTTCATTTAATTGCCTAAATTTGTGAAATGGTGTGTTTCAGGTTGACAGACTCGAGCATATTCACTCCATGTCCAGTAGTGGGGAGTCTTTGGATCGCCGAGAAGTGAGTCTCCTGCGGAAGATTACGAACAGTCTCCTTGCCTGTGATAGAGAACGTGGGCGCGATCATCGTAGATACCCTCCTTTGCCTCCTGTTCCCACCCCTCGAGTATCCAATGCAGTCAAAAGCGCGATTCTACCTAGAAGCGGAAAATTGGTAAAATCGTAAACCGTAGAATCAAAGCGTAAAAACGTAAGTTTTTGACGCATACTGTAAAATAACGGAAAATGTGTTAAGTACGACATATACTATGTAAAATATGAGTGCACATAGTTTAGATAAGTTAATAAATACCTGTAATTCATGTATAAAGTTGAGAAACTCATAAAATTTTAACAATAAGTTCATTAACATATATCTTAACCATAAGCTACCTTCCCCTCTTAGCTAGTGATTTTGGGAAGTGCCTAGTTGGTGAATTAGAATACTCTATTGAAACTAAGAATGCACCCAAGTACTTGATATGTATCTTTTAATCTTAAATATATCATATTTTTTGTGATTTACCTGTAAAATATAAGTATTTTCGCGAATAGAATACTCCTTTAGTGAACTAGAAGCGTAAAAGCGTAAAGCGTTTTGGTGAACCAGAAGCTTAAAAGCGCATTTCAATCCCCATTTTATACACTTAAGATTTTATATGGAAACGAAAGCGTTTTAGTGTTCTAGAAACATAAAACCGTAAGTTTTTAAGTTTTAAAGCGCGATTTTGTCTGCATTGCGAGTATCTATCGATGTACACTACCCGCCACCACCAAGACAAAGGAGACCAAACAAAAGCGCACGGGAACGACCATTCGTGCCC